GATGTCGGACACAGCACCTAGAATCTGACGTAGATTAACTACGAGATTAAAATATATTCCATCAATCGAGGTTCAGAAAGCACTGTGTCCGCCGCCATGTTGATAGAAATATAGCGTCTGTCCGCGCGTGCGTGTGCACATGTGGTTTAACACAAAGCCTCAGCGGGAAATGTTTACATTATCAGCGGAGGGTCAGCAAAAACTCAGGCATGGGAGGAGTTCGTAGAGGCCATGGAGAATGACTTCCGCACGGCTTCGAGGCGATTCTGGTCCACCATCCGGCGTCTCAGGGGGGGAAAGCGGTACGCCACCAACACTGTTTATAGTGGGAGTGGTGTGCTGCTGACCTCAACTCGGGATGTTGTGGGTCAGTGGGCGGAATACTTTGAAGGACCTCCTCAATCCCACCGGCACGTCTTCCACTGAGGAAGTGGAGCCTGGGGACTCTGGGTCGGGCCCTCCAATCTCTGGTGCTGAGGTCACCGAGTGGACTTGGAGAAGGCGTTCGACCGCATCCCTCGGGGAACCCTGTGGGGGGTACTCTGGGAGTATGGGGTACCAGGCCCTTTGATACGGGCTGTTAGGTCCCTGTATGACCGGTGTCAGAGCCTGGTCCGCATCGCCGGCAGTAAGTCGGGCTTGTTCCCGGTGAGAGTTGGACTCCACCAAGGTTGCCCTTTGTCACCGATTCTGTTCATAACTTTTATGGACAGAATTTCTAGGCGCAGCCAAGGTGTTGAGGGGATCCATTTTGGTGGCCTTAGGATTGCGTCTCTGCTTTTTGCAGATGATGTGGTCTTATTGGCTTCATCAGATCGTGATCTACAGCTTTCGCTGGAGCGGTTCGCAGCCGAATGCGACGCAGCCGGGATGAAGATCAGTTCCTCCAAATCCGAGGCCATGGTCTTGAGCCGGAAAAGGGTAGAGTGCCCTCTTCGGGTCAGGGAGGAGGTCCTACCCCAAGTGGAGGAGTTCAAGTATCTTGGGGTCTTGTTCACGAATGAGGAAAAAATGGAGCGTGAGATCGATAGGCGGATAGGTGCAGCGTCTGCAGTGAAGCGGGCGCTGTACAGGTCTGTCGTGGTGAAGAGAGAGCTGAGTCAAAAGGCGAAGCTCTCAATTTACAGATCGATCTACGTTCCTACCCTCATCTATGGTCACGAGCTTTGGGTTGTGACCGAAAGAACGAGATCTCGGATACAAGCGGCCGAAATGAGTTTTCTCCGCAGGGTGTCTGGGCTCTCCCTTAGAGACAGGGTGAGAAGCTCGATCATCTGGGAGAGACTCAGAGTAGAGCCGCTGCTTCTCCATGTCAAGAGGAGCCAGTTGAGGTGGCTTGGGCATCTGTTTAAGATGCCTCCTGGACGCCTCCCTGGTGAGGTGTTCCGGACACGTCCCACCGGAAGGAGGCCCAGAGGAAGACCCAGGACACGCTGGAGGGACTATGTTTCTCGGCTGGCCTGGGAACGCCTCGGGATTCCCCCGGAAGAGCTGGCCCAAGTGGCTGGGGAGGGAAGTCTGGGCCTCCCTACTTAGGCTGCTACCCCCGCGACCCGACCCCGGATAAGCGGAAGAAAATGGATGGATGGACGGGGGGTCAGCGAAAAACCTCCACTCTGGAAGGTGGGTTCAGAAACCTCGGGGTTCAAGGGGGGGGGGGGGGGGGCACTGGTGTTGTGGAAATGATCAGCAGAACCACAGAGAGAAAGCTGCGGATGCACTCAAAATATGCGCCGTGTAAACGGCCCCGTAGTTGTAACCTGTTTGTGGGGGAGGCGGGGTTAAGTCGGGCTTCATTTTGATTGGCCGACTTCCAACGGAGCTCGGACGTTGATTGGCTCGTATCTTGTGACGGTGATTGGCCAAGTTCCATTATGAGCTCGGATGTTGATAGGCTCGGCTCGGCTGTTCGAGCCCAGCCGGACGGATACTTTTACTAAAAGTTTACAGTTTCGTGAAATAATTGACCACCACAAGGGGAGGAAAATATCCGAAATAATGCTAAAAACTTAAGATTTCAAAGAAAATACTTGGAATGAAATTCAAAATAAAACAACATATTTTGCCTGATTTTTCTTTTGTTTATTCATTATTATGTGTGTTAATTTATGATTTCCTCATTTAAAATCATATTCTCAGATTTCATGTCTTTACACAGCTCTGAATAATACTTGCTAGAGTTTTGAATTGTTTTGGTACAAATTTTTACTATTTTTTTTTACAGCTAATCAGTTTGTTGCACTTTGTCTTATTGTGGCTGCCATTATGCATTTAAGTTAATTACGTAGTTTTAAGTTACAATAAATAAGTCAAAGGAAATAAAAATAATTTGATTTATCATATTGTAATGTGTAGGTTATTGCAAAACGTTTCCAGGGTGGAACTAATGTTCAATCTGTTGTTTGGGTACGAGAGATATTTTTAGTTACACGTCATAGTCGGTAGAGGGCAGCATGGTTTCTTTTCTCTGTCATTGGTAGAGATTTGAAGATGGTGCAAAGTTTTTCAGTACTTGGATAAAGAAGATGTACTGCAAAATGTCTTAACCCCTTCAAGTAAAATGCGGCCAACTGAGGTATGTATGGAAGTAAATCTTAGCGGCACTTATTTACTTCCATAGTACCCCATGTAGTATTAGTATTTATGTGTTGGTATGAAAAGATGTTTATTTGTGACAGACGTGCTCAGTTTTGTTAGTCACGAGTAGAATGTGTTGACATTTTGTAAAGGTCAAATTACTGAAGTTGTGAAGGTTTAATGTTGAATAATATGCTTTATTGTTTATTCTCAATGTTTTACTGTATGAAATCAGTAAAAATCAAGAACGCCTTGTGTTCGTTATTCAGCTAGAAGGGAGTTACACTTAAACTTTAATGTTTTTAAGTAAAACAAAGACAAAAGGCAAAGATTAATGAAGTACATTAATCATATTTTACCATCTTGTACACCTCCATGTTTCTCCTTTTAACGTGATGGATAATTTAAAAAATGTTTAATAATTTCAAGACTTTCTGCTTGCTGGTTTACTTTTCACAGCACTGGACTTTTGAATAAATAAATCACATTATATCAATACAAATCTATAAAATGTTAGCAGACGTGTCAAAATCGTGTTATAGCTTGTAACCTTTTCAATGTTCTCGTTCAGTATTTCAAACTAATGCCTAATGTTCTCTGGATAAAGCTTTAATGTATGAAGACAAAATGTGTTAGCATTTTGTTTTAAATGTATATTGTGTGTTTAAAAAATTAGGACAAGGTCATCTTTATAAGAAATATTTTATTAATGTACAGAGGTATATTCAGAATAAATGACATTTCAATTTTAAAAAATCAGGAAGTGAGGGTTTGGGAGACGGACAGCGAGCCTCAATGGAGGAGAGGGTTAGAAAAATATGATCTGCTGGTTGATCGTTACACCGAAACATTTCTAACCGTCACAAAAGAAACCCACAAGTGAATTATTAAATAAATCTGTACAGAAGGAGAGTATATATATATATATATATATATATATATATATATATATATATATATAGTATATCAAAATCAAACTTTCTGAGTTGATCAAAAACCATAATCTGAACCTGAAACATTAAAGATTCTCAGTGAAAAATAGAACGAAGCACAAAATACCAGCAGGTCAGCTTTGACTGAGTCCATCTCCCATCAATCACCCATCAGTCATCATCCATCCATCAATCAAACATCCATCCACCTATCAATAATCCACCCATCAATAATCCATCACCAATCATCCATCCATC